GGCGCGGCCGTCATCGCAGACGCTGAACTTTTCTGTGCGCGCGAACCAAGCCGGAATTGCTCAGGTGGGTGTATTTTAGCATGGGCCACCCGAATATGCTGTTACATTCAGGGCGTTCGACGCTTTTCCCCACGCCCGTAGGGATCCATGTGCTTCCTTAGCGTTTGTCGGCAGGCGAGGCCGTCATCGCAGGCGCCAAACTTTTCGGTGCGCGCGAACCAAGCCGGAATTGCTCAGGTGGGTGTATTTGAGCATGGGCCACCCGAATATGCAACAACATGCAGGTCGTTCGACGCTTTTCCCCACGCCCATAGGGATCCATGCGCTTCTTTAGTATTTGTCGGCAGGCGCGGCCGCCATCGCAGGCGCCAAACTTTTCGGTGTGCGCGAACCAAGCCGGAATTGTTGTGGTGGGTGTATTTGAGCATGGGCCACCCGAATATGCAACAACATTCAGGTCGTTCGACGCTTTTCCCTACGCCTGTAGGGATCCATGCGCTTCTTTAGCGTTTGTCGGCACGCGGCCGTCATCGCAGGCGCCGAACTTTTCCGTGCGCGCGAACCAAGCCGGAATTGCTCAGATGGGTGTATTTTAGCATGGGCCACCCGAATATGCAACAACATTCAGGTCGTTCAACGCTTTTCCCCATGCCCGTAGGGATCCATGCGCTTACTTGACGTTTGTCGGCAGGCGCGGCCGTCATCGCAGGCGCCGAACTTTTCTGTGCGTGCGAACCATGCTGGAATTGCTCTAGTGGGTGTATTTGAGCATGGGCCACCCGAATATGCAACAACATTCAGGTCGTTCAACGCTTCTCCAAATGCCCGTAGGGATCCATGCACTTACTTAGCGTTTCTCGGCAGGCGCGGCCGTCATTGCAGGCGCCGAACTTTTCTGTGCGCGCGAACCAAGCCTGAATTGGTCTGGTGGTTGTATTTGACCATGGACCACCCGAATATGCAACAACATTCAGGTCGTTCGACGCTTTTCCCTACGCCTGTAGGGATCTATGCGCTTCCCTTGCATTTGTCGGCAGGCGCGGCCGTCATCGCAGGGGCAGAACTTTTTGGTGCGCGCGAACCAAGCCAGAATTGCTCTGGTGGGTGTATTTGAGCATTGGCATCCCGAGTATGCAACAACATTCAGGTCTTTCGACGCTTTTTCCCAGGCCCATAGGGATCCATGCGCTTCCTTGGCGTTTGTCGGCAGGCGCGGCCGTCATCGCAGGCGCCGAACTTTTCCATGTGCGCGAACCAAGCCGGAATTGCTGAGGTGAATGTATTTGAGCATGGGCCACCCGAATCTGCAACAACATTCAGGTCGAGATGGCTTCCTGGAAGTCCACTGGCACCTACGTCGACGAGGTTCCCCCACCTGGGGCGAACATCGTCAGTGGCATGTGGATTTTCAGGGTGAAGCGGCCGTCGGGTTCTCCGCTTGCCTTCAAGGCACGTTACGTTGCTTGAGGCTTCAGTCAGCGTGAAGGGGTCGACTTCTTTCAGAACTTCTCCCCCACCCCGAAGATGACCAATCTTCGGGTGTTGCTACACGTTGCAGCTCAGCGTGACTACGAGCTGCACTCCCTCGACTTCTCGACAGCTTTCTTGCAGGGTAGCCTTCACGAGGCCATCTGGTTGCGCCGTCCACAGGGCTTCACTGGGTCGTTTCATGAGGGTACCCAGTGGAGCCTACGGCGACCAGTGTACGGCCTGCGTCAGGCGCGCCGCGAGTGGCACGACACACTGAGTTCGACACTTGCGGCTCTTGGGTTTGCTCCTTCGACTGCTGACCCGTCGCTGTTTCTACGCACCGACACTTCTTTGCCACGGTTCTACATCCTCGTGTTCGTTGACGACTTGGTTTTTGCTACTGCTGACACTGAGCCACTGGCCCTAGTGAAGGCGGAGCTACAGGAGAGACACACCTGTGTCAGAACTAGCAGTAGAAAGTAAGAATGAAGAAAGGAGGGGTTTCACTAGCAAGCAGTTGAGTACATATAGGAAACCCTAGATTGGGCTGTACTCGCTATAGAGCACCCCACTGCAGGCTAGACAAATACAACATTCTGACACACCCCCATAGTCAAAGTGGGGTGTAATCAGCACAATGAGCAGGTATAGCAGGAGTTCACAATAAGAAGAAAAGCTAGAGGTAATCACAGCGGGCAAGTGAGGAGGAGGAGGGACTGTGAGAGGAGAGAAGATGAGAGACGGCGGCTGAAGCTGCAGACACACGGGCAACAGGAGCTGCTGGCACAGTGGCTACCGGGACAGTGCGCCCCGGACTACTGGAGTAACTGGCTCACGGGCTACGACGAGCTACAGGAGCAACGGACCCTCGGGCGACAGGCGCAGCAGACTCTCTGGGCTACCAGGACAGTGCGCCCCGGACTACAGGTGCTGCGGACGACAAGACAGCAGCCTCCGCTCAACCTCCTCCAACTGTCCCACACACCCCCCACACACCCACTGCTTCACTCCTAACTCCACTTGCACGTCACCCCCCTAGTACCACTCCTTCGGCTCCCACACACCCACCCCCCTCAGCGGCAGCTGCAGCACTGGGAGACGGAGGAGGAGGAGGAGCAGGGGACGACGCACAGAAACTGCACCCCCATACCCCCCACCCCCAAACCCTAATTCAGGAGAACGGGCAGCAGCAGGGGTGGGGCGCCGTCAGAAGCACGAGGGACGGCGGGCAGCGCAGGGGCAGAGAAAACAGGGCGCCCACGGGCCTGGCGCAGCCCGTACGAACCGCGTGCGGGCGGCCCGAGGCGCACCCTGGCCTGGCGCAGTCCGTACGGGCCGCGCGCGGGCCTGGCGCTGCCCGTACGGGCCGCGCGCGGGCCTGGCGCAGCCCGTACGGGCCGCGCGCGGGCCTGGCGCAGCCCGTACGGGCCGCGCGCAGGCTGTACGGGCCGCGCGCGGGCCCTACGCAGGTCGCGCAGGCCGCGACGGGCGACGGGGGGCGACGCGCGGGTCCCCGTCGCCCGTCGCAGCGCCTCCCGGGAGCGACGCGCGGAGTGACGGGGCAGAAAGCCGCCGCGCGCCTCGGGGCGCACGGCGGGCAGAAAACCGCCGCACGCTCCGAGCGCGCGGCGGGATGAAAAATCCGTCGCACGCCACGGGGCGTGCAACACACAGAGTAGCAGTAGCAGCGGAAGCAGTGAGGTGGTGGGCCCACCCAGAGGATCGACCCAAGGGGATCGACCTGCTCTGATAGCATGTCAGAACTAGCAGTAGAAAGTAAGAATGAAGAAAGGCGGGGTTTCACTAGCAAGCAGTTGAGTACATATAGGAAACCCTAGATTGGGCTGTACTCGCTATAGAGCACCCCACTGCAGGCTAGACAAATACAACATTCTGACAACCTGCACTGACCTGGTTAAGCTGCAGAGCTATCTTGGCTTGCAGATCACCCGGGACAGAGCACGGCGCACCATCACCCTGACTCAGTCACACATGGTGCACCAGGTCCTTCAGCGCTTCCGCTTCACGTACTCCTCGCCACAGCCCACTCCTCTAGCTACCGGCCACTCGCTCTCAGCTCCACCTTCGGATGAGTCCGTAGAGCCGAGTGGTCCGTACCCAGAGCTTGTGGGTTGCCTCATGTACCTGATGACGTGCACACGACCTGACCTTGCGTACCCTCTCAGCCTTCTGGCTCGCTACGTGGCACCCGGTAGACACCGAAAGGTGCACTTTGATGCTGCGAAGAGGGTACTGCGTTACTTGTGTAGCACATCGGGCATGGGGCTCGTGCTTGGAGGACGGGGTTCGGTGGTCCTCACAAGACACTCTGACTCTTCTTGGGCCGACGACCAGGCGACTCAGCGTTCGTCACAGGGTTACACCTTCAGTCTTGGCTCTGGTTCTGTCTCGTGGAGGTCCACTCGTTCTTCTTCTGTGCTTGGTTCCAGCTGTGAGGCCGAGATCTACGCTGGGGCCATGGCTGCACAGGAGCTCCGCTGGCTGACCTACCTGCTGACCGACTTGGGGGAGCGGCCTCGTTCTGCTCCAGTTCTGTACGTCGACAACAAGGCAATGCTTGCCTTGTGTCGCGGGCAGAGACTGGAGCACAGAACAAAAGACATTGCTCTTCGCTACTTCCTTGCGCGTGAACTGCAGCAGCGTGGTCAGCTGCGCCTTGCTTACGTGGCCTCTCGGACCAACACTGCTGATGTCTACACCAAGGCCCTTGGGTCTGGTGATCATCAGCGTTTCTGCATTGCTCTTGGGCTTGTGCCCACTCTGCCTCACCTGCTGGTTGCTTGAATTGCTCTTGTTGTACACTGCTATATCTCTTTATACCTACATGTTTACTCTTGCTAGGTTGTGATCGGTGTACTGCCTTGCTATTATATATCTGCATGTGAACTGGCCTTGTGGCCGCCTGCTTGTGTTCAGATTGTGTGGTGTCCTTGAGATCCACCGTGGGTTTTGCCTTGCTTGTTCTCCTGCTTGACTAGTCTTGTGACCACTGTTAGGTTTGGCTATCCCCTACTTCACCCTATGGGGGTGTGTCAATACATTTAGTTCTGTTTATTTCACTCTAGGTTGTGTAGGGGCCATTCCTTAGAGGGTACAACCCAATTCTCTCGATAGTCTTGTATTCCCTCCCTCTTACCTAATCGACATTCACCTAGCTCCTAGTTGTAACACTGCAATTTGGGACTTTCGAAGTCTGACACACCCGCCAGGGTAAAAACGTGGGGCTGGCTTGGTTGGGCGAAAAATACGAATTTAACGAAATCGGAAACATTCGCCAAAACCCAAACCAGTAAAACTCCCCCTCGTCATCTTTTAAAAACTTGTGCAATTTGGGCCAACGGCTTTAAGAAGGCTGTCAATCAACCTTTTTTCTCACATCGACAATGATAATTCAGGGGTACCGTACTTAAAAAATGAATCTGAGGCCCTGGGCCTGGTCTGGTCTACAGTGATGTGCGACAGACGCTGCACATAGGGTGGGTGCAAGCAGACCATTCGTCACAAGCGTGTCACGATTGTGCATCGTCAAATTCAAACACCACACCGTTGCTGTCAGCAAAGCTGTGCGTTGTGTGGTCCACCACCTGGGGTTCATGGGGGTGCAAGGGAGTGCAGGGGGGAGCAAGGGGGTGCAGGGTAGTGCAAGTGGGTACAGGGGATGGCGAACAGACAGTTTCAGAAAACATGTGCCATGTGAAGGTTAGGCTGGGAGACACACAAGGGGCACACACACGAAGCAAGGGCAGGGCCATGCATGTGTATGAGGTGCATAGGGTGGCAGACGGAGAACAGCAGGTGCATGAATGAGGTGTCTACACTAACCCTTCCACACTCCCCACCACCCCTCACCACTCCCCCACCACCCCCTTCCCCGCGCACATTGGTGTCATGCAGTTCGAGGTTAAAGAAGTCCATGCACGGCGCAGTGAAGAGCGGGCCAGCGTGCCACGTGCCGGCGTGCAGCTTCACCACCACTGCGCCCTCCATGCGGAACACCCTCACCGCCCCCACCTCGGGAGGGCGGTACCTCTGCCCTGCCGCCCCTTGCTTCACCGCCCTGCTGCCCGCCGTGTGAAGGAGGGGGGAGGGAGGCAGGGAGAGAGAGACGGAGGCCAGGGCCAGTGCACGCATGAGAAGGGGGCGAGGGCAAGGAGGAGCAGGGAATGAGCGATGGTGTGTGGTGGATACGTGGTTGGTGCGGCATGTGTACAAGGTGGCGAGCACAGTGGGAAGCGTGGGGGTTGGGGAAGGGAGGGAGGGGGGGAAGTGAAGGACGGCGAGCATGCGGTGGCGGCAATCCCAAGGGGGCAGAGAGGAACGGCAGAGCTGACACACACGCAGCCAGCACACACACTGGACCTCCACTAGCCTCTTCCCCTATGCCTCTCACCGCCTCCTCTCGCACTGCAACGCCCCTCGCACTCCCCGCCACTGCCCCCTGCTCACCCATCAGCGCCACCACCCTCACGGCCCTCCCCATCCTGCACGAGGGAGGGCGGCGCCACGCCCAGGAACCACGGCTGCCCGCCCACGGCGCCCAGGCACTGCGTCACGCGCGCGTGGTGCGTGATGCTGCCAAACCCCAGCCGCCGGTCCCTCAGCCGCATTATGTACACCCTGGGGGGCGGGCAGGGGGAAGGGGGAGGGGGACGGGGCAGGAGCGGCAAGAAAGTGTTGGAGTGGCAAAGGTGTGTCTGGGGCGATGCGAGGGTGCAACGCGTACCCTCACGCGGGCGCATGGGAGGAGGAGGGGGTGGATACTCGTGGGATGGCGCTATGCAGCGCGCCTTGCCCATCATGGCAGCCCCGCTACTGCCGCTCGCTCACACGCCTGCCAGGGGCCCTCGCTACGCCCTCGCCCGCTACTGCATTGCCTGCCCATCAGCGCGCCTAGAGTGACGCCCACCGCACTGCCCATCCCCTCCCACTCTTGCATCGCATTCCTGTTTTCCGCCTCTCCGCCAGCGCCTCAAATTCACCTCCGCGCTCCCCACCTCGGCTCCTCGTCCCCGCCACTCCCCCCTTCCTCACCTGGGCGCGCCCTGCGAGAGGTCGAGGGCGGCGTCCGCCGCGCCGAACGCGACGCCGTCCTCCGCGGGCTCCACCACCTCGCCGAACGGCGCGAACGCCTCGCGGCTCAGCGGGATCGCCTCCAGCTTGATGACACGTGGCGTGCTGCCCGCTTCAGGCGGCGATTGCGACGCCGTCGCCATACCCTCGCCAGCAGAACAGCGGGAGGAACGTGAAGTGTGGCAAGGCGCGGATTGTAGCGCGGGCGTGGGGGAGCGCGAGAGGCGGAGGGAGGAGCGAAGATCGAGAGGCGGGAGAGAAGGGAGAAGGGGCGCCGTGCGAGAGGGGGAGTGGGAGGAGGAGAGCGGAGCGGATAGCCGGGCGAGCGGCGCGGAGAATGGGAGAGTTGAAGCGGGCATGGCCACACGCGACGGGGGGGAGGGGGAGAGGCACAACGGGACACGCGTAAAGCGCACGGCTGCTGGAGGCGAAAGGAAGGCCGAGAGCACGCAGTGCGCAGGGATGGAGCCCGTCGCGGCAATGTGAATTGCGACCTGAAATTGCCTCAAAAGCAGATTTGTGCGGGGCAGCTGGTGGGATGAAATCGTGATTGGGATCGCTTGTTAGTTGCCTTTTTTCTCGCCGGATAGGGTAACGCAGATTCGGCAGGAATTGTGCATCTCGATGCACTCCCATTTTCAATTATCTTTCGATGAATCTGGATGCAAAGCAGCCTATATAAATGTTATCACAGTTTCACACAGCTAAACGGCTTTGTTACAACAGCTTCTACAACATCCTAGACCCGAAAAAAAGGAAGAGAAAATGAATCAGCTGCACAGCTCTTCCGACACTCTACCCCCATGAGCAAGCACAGGGCTCTTCCTATATAACTATCAACAAAGCGTTGTGTTGTGAAGCAGTGGAGTGCTGGTGTAGTACGCACGCGAGCCTCGTGGACAGTGTCTGAGGCTGGGAAGTGTGTGGCACGTAGGGCGCGGGTTGAGGGCGCACAGCAGGGGGGTCACCAGCGGACCTGCTTGGACGATGACGATCTGCTGCTGCGAGAGCCCGACTCGCCTGCCCTCTCCGAGTCCCCTGCCGCCTTGGATCCCGACGACCCCCCACTGCCCCCCCGCCTGCTGCTGCTGCCCGTGGCCGGGCGGCTGGGGGACGGCGAGCTCCTGTGACTCGGTTTCTTCACCGACTCTAGCACCTTCCTGGAAGCACCACACATGGACACGGCAGGCGGGTGGGGAGGGCGGGTAGTGAGGGCGGGTGAGCCGAGTGCATGCCACAGGCACAGTGAATGGCAGCACCACCCGGGACAGACCAAATAAGCACCAACTACAAGCTGGGAAGGAACCAGGAGTGGGTGCCAGTGAAACGACCCTGCTCTCCCGCACTCCACGGCAGGCAGGCACAGAGCTTGCGTGCCAACGACTCACACACTGAGCACACGGGCAGTGCCACACACCCACACCCCGCGAGCCAGCGAGGGCACTCACATGATGCGTGCATTGGTGGTGGGGTCGAACTTGCCAGCGCCATCAGCGCCGTCCAGCGCGGCCTTGTCCTTCTGCTCAAGAATGAGCTCCACGAGCTGCCACAGGCGCTTGTTCTCCGTCTCCAGCTCCGCCACCTGCTCCCTCGCCGCCTCCGCCGCGTGCGCCGCCTCCTTGGCCTCGTCCACCGCCAGCGTCCACGTGCCCAGCGCCGCCTCCATCTCCGCCGCCATCAGATCCCGCTCCGCCCGCGCGTCCCTCACCGCCTCCTCCGCTGCCGCCACTGCCAGCGACTTGCGGTCCAGCTCGTCTGGCCAGGGGGAAAAAGGGGTTGGTTGGGGGGGGGGCGGCGGGAGGGAGGGAGGTTGGGTGGGGTGGGCCCGTGGGGTGCTTCTTTGGAAGGGAGAGAGGGATATGTTGGGGGCTGAGAATAGCGTAAGGGTGCAGACGGGGATTGGGAGGGCTGCAGGAAACGAGAGAGCGGGAGGTGAAAGAGAGTGAGGGTGAGAAGATGGAGGAGAATGGGGGTTTGCAGGAAAGTGGGGGGGTGGAGGAAAGTGGGGGAATGGAGATTGGCCAACATGGAGGTGAGTGGGGAGGTGGAAAGTGGGAGGTGGAGGAGTGAGGATGCAGGGGAGTGGGCAGGAGGAAGGGGGTGCTGAGGGGATAACTGGATGCAGCACAAAGGCGTGGGAAAGGAGAGGGTGTGGGGAAGGAGGAGAGGGTGTGGGCAAGGAGAGCGTGTGTTGAAGGAGAGGGTGTGGAGAAGAGAGGTGTGAGGAGGGTTAAGAAGGAGAGGGCGCGTGACGGCGAGAAAGAGCAGTGCAGCGTGCACGAATTCAGAGCTGCTATCCGACAAGGCAGGTGCGACGCGAATTCGCGCTGGCAGCGCTCATTCCGCAATCCGCGGGCGAGAGCGCATCAAACATGCACTCGGAGACGCACGCATGCAGCACTGCCACAGCGACACCCCGTGCTCTGTCACACCTCGTGCTCTGCCCCGTCTGCAACGCCGCTTACCTAGAAGGTCCTGATTCGCAGCTTGAAATTCCGCGAGCTGTCGTCGAAGCGCTGTAACTTCCTTCGCCAACGATCGCTTCTCGCTTTTGCTCGATCCGTCTGCGCTCTCCGTCTCCGAGCCGCCCCCACTGGACCGCGACACGGGCTTCCCCCCCGACCACTCCTGGTTCAGCGAATAGCTACGGTGCTTCTGCCACGACCCTCGCGCCTCCCCACTGCCACCGCCGCCGCTGCCGCTGCCGCTACCGCTGCCGCTGCCGCTGCCGCTGCCACTGCTGCGACCGCCGCTGCTGCTGCCGTGGCGACGGCGTCGCTCGCGCCCCTCCTTTTGCGGCTCCCCGCCACCCTCCTCCTTGGCGCCGCCGATCAGCAGACGCACCGCCAGCCGCCGCGCCGCCTCCGTCTCGCCGGAGGAGCTGTGCGACGTGAACGACGTGGACCGCCCGAACGTGACTTGCGGCGGACCCGCCTCCGCCTCAAGGTCGACGACCTCGTCGGCGAAACGCACCGACGGCGTGGTGGTAACCAGCTTGTCGAGCGACGTGCTCATGCAGCGACGCAATTCGTTAATTTCGAATCGCGCCGCTTGATGCCTCACGTCCATGGCGACTATGGCGGTGCTCGCTCGGACGACGCAAAGGGATGATGGCGGAACTTATATGTCGAGAACAGTGGAACAGAAGCTTCTAAAACCTGGTTACTCTCCGGTCGTATGGCAGCGATGCTGCTTAGGTTAGAGAGCTGACGGGCCAGATATTAGTGCATCCAGCGAGCAGCATGGGCACGGGATGTGCTGTGGATGGAGACGGAAAGGAGGCAGTCATGGTGGGAGTTGTGTTTGCTGCTTTGGGATTTCCGAGAGGGCAGCCTCGCCTCACCATACAAGTGACGAGGGACGGGCAGCCCAACAAGCGAAAAGCGCTCCACCACAGCCACACACAGCGAGCTCGAATCGAGACTGTGTGGGACCGGGCAGGCGAAAATAGCGGAATGTGCGGTGGAGTAACCAGAAGATGGCTCGGATGCCTCGAGTCGAGTAGAGAGGCATCATGAGATGGTTGGTGGCAACATCACTTCGTCAGTTGTTTTCGCGATCGCAGATTGGTCCGCGATGTGGCAATCATAATCTGGACAAACACAACCGTCACTGTTTGTTACATTCTGGAATGAATCCGCTGGCTGTGTAGATCTAAATCGTGCTAAGATTCTACCATGCACAATGTCATTCCATATTGTACACAGCAGGAAGGAGATCCAATAGAAATACTAACATGACTGCACATCAATAGGTGCAGCTAAATAAATACTCTACAACAGAGCTGATGTGAGTGTCTTGGTGAAACTACCGGCGTGCAGCACGAGGCGCAATGAGCAACAGCGAGGACATCTCCACATCCGTGGGATCAGCTGTGCTCTCGCCGGCGGGATGTGGCGGCGCCAACCGGGGGCTGGTCAGGGCCGTGCGGACAGAGGAAGCAACATTTTCCAACGACACCCATGCAGAGGCCAGCGCACTCTTGCCGCCCACCGGTGCGTATCCACTCGAGTTGGCCACCCCATCGCCCCCGTCTCCCCGGTCCAGGTCATCCGTGCTAGCCACACCAGCGGGTGCGGCAAAGAGGTCGGCCTCGAGGTCGAGCTGCGCCTGCATGGTGCGCACCACGTCGCGCATGGAGGGGCGCGCCGACGGGTCCTCCTTCACGCAATCGCGGGCGATGGTGCCGAGTGCGATGAGCTCCGCCTGGTCGAAGAAGCCCCCCAGTGCCGCGTCCACCATCAGTGGCATCATCTGCGCGTCCTCCAGGAACGGTGCCGCCTGCAACAGGAAATAAGGGCAAGGGGGCAGGTTTAGGGGCAGAGGAGAGGGAGGTAACGATCATGCGGGTTAAGCACTTGCAGATGTGGAACCACATGGTGATTGGTGCATGAGGAGAGTGGTGTGCAAGCAGCAGCCATGCATTGAAGCAACATGCGGAGGAGCAGGGCGGAGGGGCGGACGCACGAGGCTGGTGATGTGGACCTCCTTCATGGCCTTCTGCCCCGTGATCAGCTCCAGCAGCACCACTCCGAACCCATACACATCCACCTTCTCCAACTCGCCCCCCTGCAGGGCGCTCTGCCCCTCCTCCCCCCCCTCCCCGCCTTCACTCCCCTCGCCCTCCGCCACCCCCCCGCTGCGTGTGCGCGCGGGCTTGGTGGGGCGGCGGCGCTTGGAGCCGTCGTCAAACACGGCGGGGGAGCCGCCTCGGGCCAGACCAAAGTCAGATAGCTGGTGGGGTGAGGGGAGAAGGGGAGAGGGGGAGATGGACGGTGGGCATGAGGGACAGCAGGAGGAGCGAAGGGGAATGATGCTGCTTGCTATGCATGAAGTAATCACACCACCACATGCCACAGCACCGTGCGAGATGTGGACAAACCTTGCCGGACATGTCGAAGGTGAGGAGGATGTTGGAGGAGGTGACGGCGCGGTGCACGAGGGGCGGGTGGCAGCAGTGGTGCAGGTAGCTCAGCGCCGACGCCACGTTGGCCGCGATGCGCACCCGCGTGTCCCACGGGATCGGCTCCAGGTCCGGCCCTGCTCGCACGCGGTGCCGTGGGGTGGGCAGGGGTGGGGGGAATTTGAGAGGGAATGGGAGGGATGCGGGATAAGTGCAGGTACAGGAATAACAGAAGCAGAATCTTGGCAGGCGGGATAACAGTGAGATTGGGGGGGGTTGGTGAGAGCATCTGCTGGGAACTAGTGAGTGCTGGCGACGGAGGGAGGGGCCACGCGATGGAGTGATGGCATCAGCGCACATGGCTCACAGCACTCCACGGCAGACAATGCTTGCAATGCGAGAGCAGTGGGCGGAGGGCGGAGGGCAGGAGGGGCAGGAGGGGGGCAGGAGGGGCAGGGCAAGGATGCATAGGGGCAGAGGGCCAGGGGGGCAGGGGGAGAGGGCAGGGGTAGGGCACAGACGGTGGAGGCGGTCGTAGAGGGAGCCGTTGGGGAGGTACTCGTAGACGAGGATGCGCTCGCCCTTGCCCACACAGAACCCCAGCAGCGCCACCAGGCTGCGGTGCCTCACCCTCGCCAGGAAGTCCGCCTTCGCCTTGAACACGTACTCTCCCAGCTCTGCGAGGGGGGGCGGTTGGGATGGTGGGGGGTTGACGTGGCAGGGGCAGGATGTTGGGGGGGCGATGAGGGGAGGATGGTGAAGAGGCATGGTGAGGAGGTGAAGAGAGGGCAATCCTGGCATCTCAATTGATTCCCCCACTCACTTGCAAGTTGCAACCCATGTCATCTCAATCCCACTCTCCTTCCACCCATCTTGCTCTCACACCCTTCCCAAACTCACTCAAACCTTCCCCCAACCCACTCACACCGTCCCCATGTCACCCTCCCACGCTCCGCCATCTCACTCTCGGGGTCGTGGGCGCGTTTGATGATGGCGCGCGTCTCGATCTGGTCTCTGAGGAAGTCCTCCGCCAGGTACACGGTGCCGAAGCTGCCCCGCCCGTACACCGTGGTGAAGCTGCGTGTGGCCTTCTTGATCTTGCCCAGACTGTACTCCTGCACCGCCACTGCACCACCGCATGGGGGGAGAGGGAAGGGTGGTGAGCTTATGAGTTGACCCAAGTCACCTTGCCCACGCTGCACTCCTGCACTGTCAGCGGGGGATGGGAGAGGGGGAAGGGGGCTTTGAGGTTGGCTTGTGAGTGGCGTGAGGAGTCGAGCGGGCTGGTTGGTTGGTGTGTAATGGCTCAGCTCCCGCAGCAATGCTGGTCGCAAGGACGAGGGAGGGGGCGAGCTGGGGAGGCCAGGGGGGGTGAGAAGGTGAGAGAGGCAAGGGAGAGACGCGGAAGGGAGAAGCGGAAGGATACGAATAAGGGATGAAAGGAGAGCACGTAGAGCGTGGGATGAGGAGATGCGTGGAGCATGAGCAGATGGGCGGTGTGAGAGAGGCAGGGGCAGTGTGAGAGAGGCAGGGGCAGTGTGGGAGAGGGAGGGGCAGAGTGGGAGCGCGAGGGGCAGAGAGGGAGCGGGAGGGGCAGAGTGGGAGCGGGAGGGGCAGATAGGGAGCGGGAGGAGGGTGGCAGGGGGAGGGGCAGTGTGGCAGGGGAGGGGCACTGACAGTTGTCGGAGCGGGAGGCGTTGTGGGAGTCGGAGCGGTTGGCAAGGAGCACAAAGGCGAAGATGAGCAGCAGCACGAAGGTGGCTGATAGTAGCGCTATGAGGAATCCCCTCATCCATGACCATGTGGCTGGTGGGGATGAGACAAGAGACATGCGCGTACCAGGTGGGGTGGGGAGAAAGAGAGGTTTGCTGCTTTAAAAAGCAGGGATGGAGTCGCGGCTATCAAGTGGATGGCATGTGGTATGTGGGATATGTATGTGGCAAGTGGGATATGCATGTGGGCATGTGGGATATGCATGTGGCATGTGGGATATGCATGTGGGCATGTGGGATATGCATGTGGCATGTGGGATATGCATGTGGCATGTGGGATATGCATGTGGCATGTGGGATATGCATGTGGCATGTGGGATATGCATGTGGCATGTGGGATATGCATGTGGCATGTGGGATGTGTATGTGGCAAGTGGGATATGCATGTGGGCATGTGGGATATGCATGTGGCATGTGGGATATGCATGTGGCATGTGGGATATGCATGTGGCATGTGGGATATGCATGTGGCATGTGGGATATGCATGTGGGCATGTGGGATATGCATGTGGCATGTGGGATATGCATGTGGCATGTGGGATATGCATGTGGCATGTGGGATATGCATGTGGCATGTGGGATATGCATGTGGCATGTGGGATATGCATGTGGCATGTGGGATATGCATGTGGGCATGTGGGATATGCATGTGGCATGTGGGATATGCATGTGGCATGTGGGATATGCATGTGGCATGTGGGATATGCATGTGGCATGTGGGATATGCATGTGGCATGTGGGATATGCATGTGGCATGTGGGATATGCATGTGGCATGCGGGATATGCATGTGGCATGTGGGATATGCATGTGGCATGTGGGATATGCATGTGGCATGTGGGATGAGTAAGTGGGGCAGTACAACCCTGCCTGTCAGAACCAGTTCCGCTGGCAGCATGGCAGCATGGCAGCATGGCAGCATGCCAGCATGCAGCACTCACATGAGCTCGATGGTGCTGCCTCCTCCTGCTGTGGCTGCTCGGGTGGGGTGGGGGCAGGAGGGGGAAGCTCATCGGGGGCGGGGCAGGGCGACTGCTGGTCCTCCACTCCGTCTAGACAGTTGCCGTTCACCCTGCCATGCCATGCCATGCCGTGCCATGCCATGCCGTGCCATGCCGTGCCATGCCGTGCCATGTCATGCCATGCCATGCCGTGCAATGAAACGCCAACAAAGAGAACGAGTAGGTTGAGAGGAATGAGGGCATTTCACTTCAATGCGCGGACGAGCAGCAACAGCACGAAATACTATGCTCGCAGCAGCAGCAGCAGCAGCAGCAGCAGCAGCAGCAGCAGCAGCAGCAGCAGCAGCAGCAGCAGCAGCAGCAGCAGCAGCAGCAGCAGCAGCAGCAGCAGCAGCAGCAGCAGCAATGAGCTTCACGCATCAGCAGGCTAGGCATGCCAGCTGGCAGCGATCCCTTGCGACAATTGTGCAATGTGCAATGCCAGCTGGCACTCACTTGAAGAAGACCTGCACGCCAGCTGGCACAGGCGGCACGGGGCCCGTGAGTCGATTGAAGGAGAGCACTCTAGGAGAGGGTGGTGCACAACACAGGGTGAGGGGGGTGCAAGGGGAGAGAGGGTGAAGGAACAGAACAAGGTTGAACTCTGGGTGAGCGATGGTGGAGGGTTACTAAGCAGAGGTGGTGCAGTGCACGGGTGGCAAGAGATGGGATGGGAGGCGACAGATTGGTGAGTCTAACGGCGGGGAGGAGATGCGCTCACAGGGAGGAGATGCGCTCACAGGGAGGAGATGCGCTCACAGGGAGGAGATGCGCTCACAGGGAGGAGATGCGCTCACAGGGAGGAGATGCGCTCACAGGGAGGAGATGCGCTCACAGGGAGGAGATGCGGCGCAGCGAGGTGAGGCAGATGGGGATGGCCCCCTGCAGGCGGTTGAGAGCGAGGTTGACGTCCTTGGCGTACTCCAGGTGGCAGAACGTGCCCGGTATGGTGCCGCTCAGCTGGTTGTCGTTCAGGTGCAGCACCTCCACTCGCTCCAGCCCCGTGCCCCACTCGTCCGGGATGGGCCCGCTCAGCTGGTTGTTGTCTAGTAGCACCTCCTGCACGTGCACCAGGTTGCCTAGCGACGGGGGTAGCGGGCCTGAGAAGGAGCAGAACTGCATCGCACTGGGGAGGGGGAGATGGGGGGGTGGGAGGGGAGGGGGGTGGAGTTTGGGTGGTGGTGTGATGGTGGTGAGATGAGTGTGGTGGCCTGTGACTTGCCATCTCGTGGGCTGCAGTGACTCACTTACACTCATGTTCACTGCATTGACTGGCTTTGACTTGCAACCACTCAATTGACTAACATTGACTGGCATTGACTCCATTGACCCTCATTGACTCACATGGACGCCAGGTTGTCAAAGTCACCAAAGAAGGCGGGGATGGGGCCGCCCAGCCCAGCGTTGTAGCTCACATCACTGCAGGGCGCCACGCACCGGGTGAGAGAGACGACAAAGACACAGACGCAAGGAAGCATAGACGTGAGACAAAAAGAGGATTATGATGATGCGAGGAAAGAGGTTGCTTAAGGCAGCTTGATGTGAGCTCGTGCATGCATGCACGTGATGTGATGCCGGCACCTTGTGCTTGCACTGCATGCATGCGCGTGTGGCATGCAGCTCACATGAATGGCAGCTCACTCACATGAATCGCAGCTGGGTGAGAGTGCTGTAGGATGCCGGGATGCTGCCGTCCAGCTTGTTGCTCGACACGTACCTGCTCCCCGCCACCCATCCATGCACCATTCCCGCACACACATGCCCGCACACACATGCCATGCCCCACATGCATGAATGCAGCACAAGGGAATCATGTTAGCATCGAGAGAAACAGCTCCGTGTAGCAAACAGAATGTAGAAAATGACAGGGATGGCATGGGTGAAAAGGGTGGAACGAAGGATTAGAACAGCACCAAAAACTCCCTGAGCAACAGAGAGCAGCAGGGAGCAGCAGGGAGCAGCAAGGAGCAGTAAGGATGGGAAGATGGCGTGACTGACAGCTCTCTGAGGTTGGTGAGGCGGCTGAAGGAGTCTGGCAGCGACCCCCGCAGCTCGTTCACGTCCAGCGCTCTTCCAGGTGCAGCGAATGGCGGTATAGGGTGGCGCGCACAGCAGGGGACGAAGAGGGGAGGCCGAGGGGACGCCGAGGGGAGGCCGAGGGGAGAGAGGCACAGGTGAGTGAGTGGGTGAGGTGAGTGGGTGAGGTGAGTGGGTGAGGTGAGTGAGGGGCTGGTGGGCGCAGTGAGAGCGACGTGGACATCGAGTGAAGGGAGCAACAAGGAAGGGAAGAAGGAACGCTCACAAGGTTGCGAGCGTGGTGATGTGGGTGGGGACGAGAGGGCAGCAAGGCGCTCACAGAGAGGCGAGCGTGGTGGCCTGGGCGAGGTCCTGCGGGATGTAGCCGCCCAGCTTGTTGCCAAACAGCTCCCTGGCGCCGCCGTTGGGGGGTGGGTGGGGTACGGCGCGGAGTGGCTGATTAACAAGGGATACGTTGACGAGACGGTTAGGCAGTGCAGTGTGGTGTGGTGTGGTGTGGTGCAGTGCGAGAAAAGAAAGGCAGGAATGCAGTGAGATGGGAGGAAGGAAGCGCACTCACAGCACAACGATCTTGGGCCAGGAGCCGAGCCACGAGGGCACCTCCCCTGACAGCTGGTTGGACGACAGGCGCCTGCTCATGCCCGCACGCAGGCACGCAGGTACGGGGGAAGGAGAGTGGGGACGGTGGGTAGGTGGAAACCACGCTACTCGTATGGTGGCATGCATGCAGTCAGTGTTTCGACAGAAGTGAGCAGTGCAGTGGCAATGAGTAAGGAGCACTCACAGGGGTGGGAGTGAGGGGAGCAATCACAGGGTGGCAGTGAAAGGGGGGCACTCACAGGGAGGAGGGGAGCGAGCACTCAGAGGGAGGGGGCGAGCACTCACAGGGTGGCCATTTGAGTCATCCTGCTCCAGTCGCCTGGGATGGGCCCTGTGAACTGGTTCTTGCACAGGTTGCTGCCATGCCATGCCACGCCCCAAGCAGCCAAGAGCGTTTCAGAGGAGAGAAGGGGAAAGGTGGGAACAGAGCAGATGAGAGGCATATGAGAGACAGATGAGAGGAAGATGAGAGGCGGAGTCAGAGTGGGTTGCATACTTGACTCATGGCATAGCTGGCATGGGTGTCAACCTGGTATGGTATGGTATGGTATGGTATGGTATGGTATGGTATGGTATGGTATGGTATGGTATGGTATGGTATGGTATGGTATGGTATGGTATGGTATGTCACGGTATGTCATGGCACGGTATGTCATGGCACGCTATGTCATGGCATGGCATAGCACGGTATGGCATGGTATGGCACACGGTATGGCATGGTATGGCATGGTATGGCATGGTATGGCACGGTATGGCATGACTGGTATGGCATGGCATGGTATGGCATGGTATGGCACGGTATGGCAGGACATGGTATGGTATGGCATGGTATGGCACGGTATGGCATGACTGGTATGGCACGGCATGGTATGGCATGGTATGGCACGGTATGGCAGGACATGACATAGTATGGTATGGCATGAGCATGGCATGGCAGAGCGCAGTGGGGCTGACAGGAGGGTGAGGTTGGAGAGCGAGGAGAGTGACGCTGGCAGCTCGCCCGATAGCTGGTTGCCTGCCACTTGCCTGCTCGCATGCATGCACACATGCATGTGCACACAGAGAGAGAGGGGCACACACACGACAGAGGGTGTCAACGGGCAGGTAATGTGTTCCCTGTGGAATGCTATCCACGTGCTGCCATGCACGCTCCTACAGAAGCTACAGGGCCTGCCAAGACAACCCCTTGTGCCCCCACCCCACCCGCCCTGCCCACTCCCCCCGTCCCGCGCGGCTCACAGCTGCTTGAGCGCCTGGAGCTGGCTGAAGCCCGCTGGCAGCGTGCCCGATAGCTGGTTGAACGATAGTGACCTGCCCGCCAAGCGTGGGGTGGGGGGGGGAGGGGTGGTTTGGGAGAGGGATGGCATGGATGGGATGGCATGGATGGGATGGCATGGATGTTATGGCATGGATGGGATGGCATGGATGTTATGGCATGGATGGGATGGCATGGATGGGATGGCATGGATGGGATGGCAGGGCATGGGATGGCATGGCATGGGATTGTACCATAGAGCATAGATGGGACGTCTGAAAAGGATGGACTAAGGGCTGCATGGAGTGAGGGCATGTCCTGGGCTGGGCCTGAGTGCTGCTGCTGAGAAGCTCGGATGTGCGTGTATGAGCGGCGGCACAGTGGCACTCACAGGATTTGCAGCGAGGTGAGTCGCAGCAGCTGCTCGGGAATGGGGCCCGTGAACGAGTTCGACGCCAGGTCGCTGCGCACACGGGGGAATGGGGGCGAGCGGACGGCGGGTGAGAGGCACGAAGAGCATGAGGGGCAAGGGAGAAGGGAGGGGAATGGTGCGTGGTGGTGGCGGGGTGGGCAAGAGCTGAGGAGGGCCAGCGAGCCGAGCACGTGAGTGCAAGCACGTCTGTGCCGTGCTTCTCCCCGCCTGAACCTGAACCTGCACTGCCGCATTCCGTGCTGCTCCGCCTGCCGCACCCCTCCCTCCCAGCGTCGACAGCACCTGTCGCTGAGAAGCGCGCCGAGGCGAGCCAACGCGCTCGCACGAGCAGTGTGGGGCGCTTACCATGCGCGTGGGCGGCGTGCATTGTCGCGACATGCGGACGTACATGTAGTTGAGAGCCGTGAGCGCGGCGAGCTGCACGCCGGGGATGGGCCCGTGCAGCTGCTTCTGCGCTAGCGACCTGCGCGCGGGCGCGGGAGAGGAGGGGGGATGTTTTGTGGGGGTTGAGGGGGAGGGGGGAAGAGATGTAAGAGCGCGCGGACTGGGTACGGGGGGACCCGAGTGGCAGCAGCGAGGTGGGAATGAGGGGCTGGGCGGAACGGCTTCACGCGCGCAGTCAACCCTGCGGGCGCTCACATGAATGGCGACTCACAGGAAGGTGACGTGGCCGTTGTCGTCGCAGTGGAAGGAGCCCTCCCACGACCCCCCGCACGGGTCCGTGCTCTCCGACCACGACTCCAGCGCCGCCGGGTTCGCCTCCTTCAGCGCCGCGCGCACGTCCAGCAGCGCGCGCACTGCGCTCGGGGGAGGCGGAACGAAGGGGGGGGGGAGGAGGTGGGGGAGGTGGGGGAGGTAGGGCCAAAGCGTAAGGCCGGAATGGAATGCGTGAGATGGTGGCGCAATGGGGCGTCGAGACTGCGTCGGCTGCGAGGTCCACGTGCACCAGTATACGCGCTCGCTGCCACGTGTCTCAGGCGGGTCACGTTCATTCGCTGCGCGCCGACATTGTCCGTGGCTCTCCGTGACCCTAAACTGCGACTGATACCGTTCTGCTCGGTGCAATGCGGTAACGTTGCCTTGCCGCATTCACGATGTTCATCGCTACAGTCACCAGTCGTGGTCATACTATTCAATAAGATTTCTTTTCAGTCACATTCCGAAAACCTAATGAACGGATCTTCCATATAGAGACACACGGGTGGCGTAGGGGGGGATTGAACTGACCGTCATTCTCCGACGCGCCAGCATTCGTAAAGGTGATGCTGTGTGAGACCAGAAGCGATAGCAGAAACGTCAACAAGTGAAACAGCGATAGTCTTTGCAAGTACGTGCCGCTCCGCTCAGCCATTGCACTTATGTTGAAAACCAGACGGATAATCCAGCATTCGTAGCGCCTAGCCCGAAGTTGGCTTGAACGACGCCTGAATAACTGATCAAACGAAAACCGCTGGGGCCATCAAGAGACTTGGAAATCTGGTAGCGGTATTTCCGTCTATCTTTCCCCAAAATGCATCAATGAACATCGGGCTGATGAAATTGAAGCTCTACTGGCTTGAAGCAAGCTTCAGGTAGTTCCGCTGGAGAGCTCTTGTGCTCCCTCTCTGGTCAGCGTGGCTGTTGGGCACCTCAACAGCTCCAACTAGTAGACTCCAAGGTTGGGCACCTGGCAGGGAACGCGGTCGTTGGGTCGAAAGCTGCAATGTTTCCAGACGCGCATGTTGCGGTGCAGGAGTTTCCGGTTTCCCCTTCTGCAGTTTTTCTCCCAAGCACCTACGGGAAAAAGTTTTGGTTCCGGGTTGAAGTGGTTTCGTGAAATGATGAGGTACAAGCTTGGTGGTCTGACCACTTTGTCCAGCGAGCCATGAAGAGTTGCAAGGCATCACAGAAGTGCAGTTTCAACACGTGATGGGAAAACATGATTTGAGCGGAGTGAAGCAGAGTCGAAACTCAACGCCCAGATAATTTTGCCGAAAAGGGTGGATCTTCTTGGCATGACGTGGGTGCACTTCACGGTTCTGTGCGTGGCGAAGCAGGATGACTACAGCAACACTGGGAGAACATATTTGTACATTACTATACAGTAAAGCAGAATACTTATCAGTTTCCAGCGTAGATGATCATGTAATGTGAGCGAGTTTGTCATATAACTGAACACTTTAGACATGCCATCAGCCGCCTAAGCCGCGACACGGCTTCGCCCTGCTGGCTGGAACTGCTCTCGTAAAGCCTCGTAGCGATGCAGCTCTGACGCCGATAATGAGGGGGTCAGCTGTGACAAGGCCTGGCAGAAAATGAATACGTGACACATAAGAGAAATGAATTCGATGGAAACCAAATGGAGGATGGCAGATCGAGGTGGGCAGGGAGGCGGGGCACCTGAATGCCACAAGAATGCCAAGAGAGGAGAGGCAAGGGGAGAGAGTGGCAAGTACCTTGAGGAAGTCTGCTTGCTCCACCACCACCGCATCGTCCCCTTCACCCTCCTTTCCACCTTCCACGCCGTGCCCCTTGGAGCGTGCAGCAGAGCGGCCTGGTGTGTTGGCGTGCCCCACGGTGCGCTTGGCAGCGCAGAGCCACGCGTCGGCAGCGAGGGCGTAGAGGTCGGCACCCGTGAGCGTGGCGGGGCAGCGGTCGGCGATGCTCTGCAGCGACACCCCCCCTGCCAGCTGGAAGCGCCGTGTCAGCGCCTGCAGCACCCTGTGGGGCGCGTGGGGGGGGGGAGGGGGGGTGGGTGGAGGGAGAGAATGCATGGGGCAGAGAGAGGGTGAGGGATTTGAGTGCAGTGAGAGGGCTTCTGCTGCACACTTTTAGCACAAAGTACACTTTTTCAGTGTGTACTGCCTCCCTCTTCACTCGAAAGCCATCCCTGTTAGTCCCACCTGCAGCGGTGCAGAGCGGTGGAGCCAGCGCCCACATAGAGCAGCTTGTCGAAGCGGCCCGGGCGCAGCAGCGCGGGGTCGATGAGGTCGGGGCGGTTGCTGGCGCCCACCAGGAATAGATCCGATGCTGACGTGGACCCTATGCCATCCACCTCAGCCAGCAGCTGGCAAGGGGGAAGAGAGAGATAAGCAGGGGTATGTGGGAGGCAGGGAGGGAAAGTGAGTGAGAGAATGTGGAGACCGTTGTTATATGCCCGCCTTGCCATCATCCCTTGCTTCTTCAATGCACGTGAGACAACAGAGACCCCACCTTACAGACAAGAGAGACCCACCTGTAACAAGAGAGACCCACCTGTAACAAGAGAGACCCACCTGTAACAAGAGAGACCCACCTGTGACAAGAGAGACCCACCTGTAACAAGAGAGACCCACCTGTAACAAGAGAGACCCACCTGTAACAAGAGAGACCCACCTGTAACAAGAGAGACCCACCTGTAACAAGAGAGACCCACCTGAGAGATAACAGTGACCCACCTGGGAGACAACAGGCACCCACCTGGGAGACAACATAGGGCCACCTGGTAGACAACAGAGGCCCACCTGGGAGACAACATAGGGCCACCTGGTAGACAACAGAGGCCCACCTGGGAGACAACGCGGTCCATGACACCCCCTGAGTCCCCAGCAGCCCCTCTGGCGGGCGCAAGGGCATCGAGCTCATCAAAGAAGACGACGCAGGGGCGGGCGGCGCGCGCCTTGGCGAAGATGGCGCGCACGTTGCGCTCCGACTCGCCCACGTACATGTTGATCAGCTCCGGGCCCTTGACGCTCAGGAAGTTCAACGAGCACTCCGTTGCCACCGCCTTCGCCAGCAGCGTCTGATGGGAGGCAGTGCACATGGTGGTGCGGTGAAGGCGGATGGGGGAGCGGTGCAAGCATGGTGTCACATTGCTTGGCTGGCAGTCAATCGCTCGCACAACGATGCACTGCCTTGGAAGAAAACGAGCAGCGCAAGCAGTGTGAAGAATGTGAGCTCCTTCACCAAAGGGTGCAACACCCATTGACTCGCATGACATGCCCCTGTGTGTCCTCCTATGCCCCACACACCCCCCACCCCCAACGTGCCTTCTCTCTCCACGCTGCCACCCCTCACCACTCACCTTGCCTGTGCCCGGCGGGCCGTACAGCAGCACACCGGAGCGCTGCCGCAGCCCAGACGCAAACAGATGCCGGTGCCGCAGCGGCAGCTGTGAGGGTGCAGGGGAGGATGGGAGATGGGATAGGAGAAAGGGGACACACACACACAATGGGGTGCCGAATCAAGGGAGGGAATGAAAGGCCTACGGCACAAAGTTCACCTGGTTGCTGTGGAAGGCACCTGAGCCTGGGGAATCACCTGGATGGTGTCGAGGATGGCGGCCTTGACGTCCTCCAGGCCACCAATGTCATCCCACCGCACGTTGGGCACCTTGGGAGTGCCGATCACCGTCGCCACGCGCCGCTTCACCGCCCCCATCGCCTCCTCCACGTCCGCCCTCCCCACCGCCAACCCCCCCGCCATCCCCTCCGCTCCCCTTCCGCCCTCCACTTCCCTGACCCCCTCTACCTCCGCCTTCCCCAGTCCCCCCTCTGCCTTCCCCTCCCCCTCGCATCCGCTGCTCGTCTCCGCACTGCCATCCTCCCCACCCCGACCCTCTGCCACGCCTGCACTGCCCACAGCCGTCTGCACGGCAGCTCCCCCGGGGGGCAGCGAGCGGCGGATGGCGGCGGCAGCAGCGTCGGCGGCCAGCGCCCTGAGGTCGCGCGGCAGCAGCCCCGCCGTCTCCCGCGCTACAGCCGCCGCCACGTCCTCCTCCTCGCCTCCGGCTGTAGCGCTGGACGGAGGGCTCTGGGGACAGGCAGTGGTGGTGGTGGGGAGAGACATGGGGGAAGCAGTGGGAAGTGAGCAAGGACAGAAGAAAGGGAGGGGCAATGAGGTGAGATGGATGCGTGGAGGCAGTTGCGAGAGGAGAGGGAGGAGGTGATTCAGTCTGTCGCCCGGGACCCACCTTGAGGAAGAAGCGCAGCAGGTGGTGGCGGTGCGTCTCATCCGGTGGCCCCACAGCGAGCTCGTGAGTGAAGCACCTCCTCACCGCCACGCCCATGCCCTCCGCCTCCCCCTCCTCCACACACGCCACCACCACCACCGCCGCCCCCCCTCCCCCTCCACCTCCCCCTCCTGCTACAGCTGCGGCTGGTGCGGTGTGCAAGGGGGGTGGGGCTGCACTGGAAGGCCCATGGGGGCAGGAGAAGGAGCGGATGCAGCTGCGCAGCGTGTGGGCGAGCAGAGACAGCGCGGCGGAGGAAGAGGCGTCGGGGGCGTCTGAGGGCGTGAGGAGGGCGGAGAAGCGGCGCAGCAGCAGCACTGCTGGCGAGTAGCTGAGGGGGTGGCAAGGGGTCGAGGGGAGCCGGTGGACATGAAATGGTGGACGAGGGAGACGAGGCGAGGAGGGCGGTGCGATGATGGGATGGAGGGTGGAACACCCGCCTGCTGTCATGTTGCAGGCAGGACCCCCCTTCAAAACAGGAACAGACGGACAGCAGCACAAGCTGTCGGATGCAATGTCACAGTCACACCCCACCACCCCAGCCCACTGCCGCTTCTCACCGGCTCGCTGTTTCAAAGGCGGCTTGCAGAGCGCCAGCTGTCGCGCTTTCATTGGAGGAGGCAGCGAGGTCGGCACTGCTGTACTCCACGCAGTGCACGCCCATGCGCTGGCACGCCGCCCGCACTGCTGTTCGCCGCCCGACTCCTGGTGACCCGCGCATGGGGGGGGAGGGAAGTTATTGTGGGGAGGTGTGTGGGTGGGGTGCAGGTGGGCTATGAGTGTGGGTTGGATGGCGTGTGGGTGGGTCGTGCTTGGGGTGCAGTGTGCTGCTAGAACAACTCTCCTGGTGTGGCCGGGCAGCACATACTGCTGTCGCTGCTAGTGAGCCCGGTGACACATGACTCATTCAACACAGGCGCGCGTGCGGACACAGCAGCAGCAGCAGCAGCAGCAGCGCGTACCAGAGGGCCCAACGAGCAGCAGTGCGCAGCTGAACGCGGATGGCGCCATGCCCCCCACCACACTGCTCCCTCCGCCGCCCTCCCCGCCCTCCCTCCCCCACCCCACGGGCAGCAGCGCCGGAGCCAGCACCCGAACCAGCCGCCCAGCCTCGGGCAGCGGGGGATACCCTGCTAGATCCCCGGCGAATCGCAGCGCGACAGGTGGCAGGGGCGAGGGCAGGGAGGCGGAGAGGAGGAGGTGGGTGGAGTGGGGGTGGATGGCGTAGATGGTGCTGCCGGGGGGATGCACTGCTATCACCCTCAGATACACCACCCGTGCCTCCCTCTCCTCCCCCTCCTCCTCCTCCTCCTCCTCCCCCTCCTCCCCCTCCTCCTCCTCCTCCCCCTCCTCCTCCTCCTTCTCCTCCTCCTCCTCCTCCTCCTCCTCCTCCTCCTCCTCCTCCTCCTCCTCCTCCTCCTCCTGCTCTTCTGTTCCCCATTCCTCCTCCTCCCGTCCGCCCCCCCTTCCTCTCCTTGCCCCTCGACCCACCATAACAGACCGTACCATGCGAGCCACGCTCTCTCGACCGCCCAGCACCGTGAGGAAGCACGCGCCCACCGCAACGAACCGCTGCCGCACCACAGCCCGCCGCACCCCCTCGTCCACCTCCCTCTGCCTCGCCTCCCTCTCCCACGCCCTCTCCTCCTCCTCCTCCTCCTCGTCCCCCTCCCCTTCCTCCTCTGACCCTTCCTCCCCACCCATGCCCGCATGCTCGCGTTGCTCCTCCCCATCCTGCCTCCCCTCTCTCTCCTCATGACGTGGCACATGCCTATTGGCCCATGCATGCCCCTCCTTCCCCCTCCCTCTCCTCCCCATCCCCCCTCCCACCGCCCCACTGCCATCTCCCTTCTCTCCCCCCCGCCCTCCCTCCCCCCTTCCTCCCCTTCCCCCTACAGCGTGCCAGGGGGGGAGGGCGGAGGGGCAGCGCACGGGGGCAAGGCGCACCACACTGGCCACGCCCACGCGCACGGCCATCTGCCCTCCCGCCGTGCGCCCATCCGCATCCGCTGCCAGGGGGGGCTGCATGGGGGAGGCCTCGAGCAAGGGCAGGGCCGGGAGGGGCAGAATGAGCACGCGGATGCCCGCCCATGCTGCCCGCCCTGCCCTAAACGTTCCCTGCCTCTCCTCCTCCTCCTCCTCCTCCCCCTCCTCTTCCTCCTCCTCCTCCTCCTCTTTTTCACTCCCCTCCTCGTCCGCAGACTCGCCCTGCTCATCGTTCCCCTCCGCCCCCTCACTGCGCTCCCACCCGCCCATGACTCCCCCCGGCAGGCCCAGGTTGAACCCCAGCAGCGGCGACACCCACGCCGTGCCCCCGCCAGCCCCACTCCTACTCCTGCGGCTGCTGCCTCGCCTGCCGGCACTGCCCGTCCGCGCCCCTTCTCGCCACAGCAGCAGGCGCGCGGGCATGACTTGGGCGGCCAGTGCGCCTGGCGCGGACGGCAGCAGCGCCACCGCCACCTGCCGGGGTGTGGAGGAAAGTGAGGGGAGAGAGGGGGAGAGAAGAGGAGGTTGAAGAAGCGGGAGAGCAAGGCATTGAGCTGACGGCTGGAGGTGCTCGCAGTGAGACGCGCGCAGTAAGATGCCAAGTAACCACATGCGGTTCATGCCACCCGCCCTCTCATCATTCCCTTCATCCCCTCACCACGTCCCCCATCCCCCTCACCATGTCCCCAGCGCACATCCCCAGTCGCCTCAGCCCCGCCTCCCCCACCGCCACCACGCTCTCCTCCTCACTCGCCCTCTCCGCCGCCCACCGCCCCTCCCCCTTCGCTCTTCCCCCACGCCTCCGCCATCCCCGGTGCTCGCGCAAGTGTGCAGGCACTAGCCCCGTCAGAGGGGCCACGCGGAAAATGGGCGTTTTCCGCTCCGCCAACCCCTCTTCCCCGCGCGCCTGCCCTTTCCGGTGGCCTCCGATCACCTGCTGCGCGAGCAGCTGCTCCGCCCCATCCCCGCACCGACTTCCAATCTCCTCCCCCAGAGCCTTCCGCTCCGCCCATTCCGCGGAATCAGCATCCCCGCCGGCAGCACCGCAGTCTGTCTCCGCGAGGCGGGTAAGGAGTCCACCCAAGTCGGGCGGCAGACCGAGGCCTCCTAGCGCGGCGATAGTAGACGCTAGCAGTAACGGCGGGCCAGCATGCCGCTCCGTGGTGGAGCCATTAGCATCACTTGTTGTGGTGACGTCATTCGCCATAAGAAAGACGCTCAGATATTACGGTTGACCGTGTCGCCTAACGTTGGGTCCACGATAGCACACGGGCAGCATACGTGGCACAGGGCTGTGATGTCACCCAGCGGATGTTCACTATACTGTGTGCTGCGCCATGTGTAACATCGTCAATCTGTGCGGAATCTGTCCATCTGTAAGGGGGAAATAAGGATTCATGTATTGGCGTGTAGCCGCGATGAAAAAGGCACTGTGATATTTGTGCGTTGGTTCGCAGCGAATCAGGGAGCACCGCGGATGATCATGACTGGCAGCACGCACCTGCGCCTGCTTCTGTTCCACGGCGAACAAGGTTTCCACGAACAGTTCACGACAGAATACATTGTTACAGTGACCCGTTGCGCGGGACCGACAGCTGTGTTCTGGGCACAACCTGACCCCCCTCGGGTCACAAACAGCTCCCGTGGAGCTCGGTAAAATCGAGGGAGTGGAGTCGAGGATTGAGACACAGTAGCACAGGATTTGAGATCCGACGCATCAAGGGCTGTGTGCGTTGTGAGGCATCAGGCCTGGCCTGATGCATCCGCGTCTTCCGCGTCGTTCATTCATTCCCCTCCCGCTCAGCGCCTGCGGCTCCACCTGTTCAACAGCTCTCCTAACCGCCACCACCCGGTCGTGTTTCTCCTTCGCTTCTGCGTTCTTGTGCATCGCCTGCTGTCATCGCGACCAATACCAAGCCTTTCTTGGATTCGAATCTTGCTGCTCACCTTCGCTACAGCACACTATGGACATTCCAGTAGTTCCTAAAGCTTGCTCACCGCACCTGCTCTTCCGTCGTAGGTCCACGCCACTCTATCACCACCACAATTCCGCCGCTCTCGCATCCTGTGAGCCCACCAAGCAACCCAACTTCCGACTTGTGACTCACGTGGGGGTCCCACCGCCATGTTCTCACCCTCCCTAGAAGACCCAAGGCCGTGAAGGTTCCTCCACGCGAAGCCATGCCATTTCGGACGGCCGCGGCGGGTGGAGCGCAAAGCAGCAGCATGAAGTCACCCAGAGGCCTATCCGCGTCGGCAACCCCAAGGATGCGCCTTTCTCCGTCTCTGCCGGACCTTACTTCCCTTTATTCCACGTCAGATCCAGCCAGCGTTCAGTCGCCTTGTTCCACGAGCTCTCCGTCTCCCGCCACCGGCGACCTACCTCCCTTCTCTCCGCCAACGGCAGCCCCCCTGCGAGGCAGCCCGAATTCCAGCCCGAAAAATACTCATCTTCCTGGTCCCGATGCGATTTCTTCAGCGCGCCGAGCGAAAGCCGGTGGAAGTAAGACGAGCGTGAGTTATGGCTCGAGCATCAACAGAGGCCACCCAAGGAAAATCGCGTCGCTCGACACGGGGCCGCCGTTGCTGAGGCGCACGGATCGCGCTCGCCGGTACTCCCTGGGCGGCAGCGGCGACTACCCCCGCAGCGTCAGCGTGAGCGCCCCGGTGGAGCTCAGCCGGGCTGAATCCTTCACCGCGCAGCACCGTCCCGCACTCCCTTCCCAAAGCCTGTCTGACGCCGCTGCAGCACCCGTGGCGGGAGAGCAGCACAGGGGTCCTGGCAGGAGCAGGCGCGGGGGGAAAGGCAAGGAAAAGGAGGACAGGGTGCGAGGGGATGGTATAAGCGAGGGGTACGACTCGGACGAGGATTTTGTGAAGCTATACGGGCTGGTCGCGCAGCACCGCGCAGCAGAGCGCGCCATCGTGTCGTCTGCCTTCGCCAAAGTGCTCTCCTCGCCTGGCCAAGGCACCTATAGCCCCAAGGGTGGGACGAGCAGCGGCTGTAGCACAGTTCTGGGGTCTGGTAGCGGTTTTAGCCCCAAGGATGGGACTGGCAGTGGCTGTAGCAGTATTGCCAGATCAAGAAGTGGGTGTTTTCCCAAGGCTGACAGCGGCATTGGCAGCATTGTCAGGTCTGGCAGCATTTGTATACCCAAGGTTGGGACTCGGAGCGGCTGTAGCAGCATCATCAGATCAAGCAGCAGTGCCTTTCCAAAGGTTGAGTCTGGCTACGGCTGTAGCCCCAATTTCGCGTCTCCGAGCGGCAACGGCAGCAGTATCCGATGGCCTGGCGGTGATATCATTTCCACCACCAACAACAAGACGTGTGGTGTGGCAGCTGCTGATGAACATGAGGGGCGCCTTAGTGTGCCCAGCTGTGCTGACATTTTCCCGAATCACGGAAGCACATCAGTTGAGCCGCTAGTGCCAAGTCCCAGAGCAGCGGCGTTGGGACCTCGTGCTGTTATCAAGGGGGAATTCAGCAATGCGCCGTACACTGTTCTGAGGAATCGGAGTCGAATGAGCCTCGATTCTGCAGTGGTGAGTGTGGCGTTTACTGGTGCTGACGAGAGGGAAAGCATCCAGTCGCTGATGGACTTGGGGAAAACACAGATCAACCAGCAAAGGCATGGACACCAGCAGCAGTCTCAGAGGGAGAAGAGCTTTCTGGGGAACCAATCAGGTGCTGAGATGGACTTTGCTGTGGTTGGCACAAGAGCAGCAATATCACCCAGCAATAAGGAGGGGTTAGCAGGCAGCAGCAGATGCAACTCGTTTATTTTTCCACGCTGTCAGCAGCAACCATATCCATCGCATGCCTCAGGAAGCAGGAAAGGGTTCTCCCGTTCCGCAAGTGAGAGTGTTTCACACAGTTCCACTCACGACAGTGTGACTGTTCCTTCTGCAGGAGCAAGCCCCCGAAGCATGCTCCGGCATGCATGGGAAGCAGATGTAAGGACACAAGAAATCAAATGCTCGATCTCTGAGGCTCATACCAGTACTGGGATTTGCATGGCCAGCAGCAAATCTGTCACGCATTCAAAGCCAGCTCATAGGAGACGAGTTAGTTTGTCAGCAATAACAGTTGAGGTAAGTCCGTTCTACGAATCCTGAGCTAGCATACAGTAGGTAGTCTCTATTACGGTAGTGTAGTGTAGACCTCACTTTTTCAGTTAGAAGTTTATATTGCTGTATTGTGCAATAGAGGTTCTGCAAATTACACGTGCTTACTTCTAGAAAGTGAACGCAGAATGGCATTGGGAAGAGATACGGTAGATGACCAGTGAAAAAGCCAGCTATTGTAGGAGTTCATAAATTGAACTTGATAGATAGCATGCTGCACACTGCACCCCCGGCTCTGCACACTATTATTGATACAGTAGTCCACGCTCTGGTCTGCGGACAGCAAGGCGACGACAACCACATCAGTGGAATCGCGATTCGATTCGCTAGGCGTGCTGCGGCACGTCGAAAATACGGTTGTGCGAGCGACTCATGCGCATTGCGCAAAGGTGGCAGGCGGCGAAACCACCCCATTCCCCCTTCCTCGTCCCCCAAACTCCCTTTCTCCCCCTTCCCCCACCTCCCTCCCCGCTTCCCTCCTACACATTCACTGCTGCTGGTAGAATGTGCAAGGTCTGCCAGCAGAGTTGATTTCCATCCTACATCTCGTCAGCCACAATTTCCCTTACGCGTCGCACCTTCTTCCTCCCACCATTGTAAAAGAGCTTCCGTCCCGCACGCAGAAAGAGGGAGATTGACGAGAGCCACAATGACAGCGGACTTTCCGAGCGCGCCGCAAGGAGACCCACAAACGGCGGCGGCTGCATCGTCCCAACCTGTTCCGCCATATCCCCAACCTGTTCCACCTTATCCCGGACCTCCGCCTTATCCTGGACCTGTTCCGCCTTATCCCGGACCTGTTCCACCTTATCCCGGACCTGTTCCGCCTTATCCCGGATCTGTTCCGCCATATCCCCAACCTGCTCCGCCATATCCCCAGCCTGGTCCGTCGTATCCCCAACCTGCTCCGCCATATCCCCAACATGTTCCGCCATACCCCCAACCTGCTCCGCCAGTCGCCGTGATGGGCACTCCCGTGGCGTCACCGTTCCCTGCTCGTTGCGCCAAACCCGAGAATAGCCGCGTGGTACGCACAACGTTTCATCTTGAATAGCAGGGATCATGCCGCTGCTACTAGTCACACAGTGCGCCGCGCGTGGGTACCAGATACTAAATCTTGACCCATAGGGAATCTCGGAGCCTCGTTGAGGAATTTCCGTGTTTTCGTCTCCGCATCGCATTGCCCGCGTCGCGTGTCGGTTCGCGCGTAGCCATTCTGCTCTCTCACGACTGGAGCACATATAACGCCGCCCACACACGGCGCCGGCGGTTCAACAGCGCCCATTTCCCCCCATCCGCTGCGCCGCCCGCAGGTGATCTCACAGGGGGAGGGCGGGGCGCTGGAGGTGCGCATCCCCGCGGCGGGGTTCTTCCCGGACGGCGCCGTGGGGTGGATCCTCTGCATCCTCACGCCCTTCCTCGTAAGCACACTGATCACCCCCTTCCTCGTAAGCCGCCTGCTCATCCCTTGCTTACAAACCCACCCCCCCACTGCGCATGTTGTGATCCACACCCTCTCTCCGTTTCTTGTCGCTCGCTCCCCTCCCACGGAACCCTCCTATGCAAGCCCCTCCCATGCATGCCATGCAAGTCCTCACATCGTGTCGCGTTCCTTCTCATCTGAGCTTCTCCCAGCCCGCTTCCCACCTGCTCTCTCTTCCCCACTCTCCCCTGAATTCCCCCCCTGCCCTTCCCTCCCGACTGTCTTGCAAGCTAGCTTCAGTGCGTGCGACCATCGCTCCACACGTTTCCCACCAAACAGGGTCCGACTCCCATTCAGATCCTCCAACCGAACATAACCGAAGGAATTATTTCGGTCACCGCCCCCCTCCCCTCTCCATTCCCCCCCTCCCCTCTCCACTCCCCCCCTCCCCTCTCCACTCCCCCCCTCCCGCGCCCAATCAACCCCCTGCTCAACCCTCGCTCTCACCCGACCTCTCCTTATCCCGCTCCACCGCGCGCCTTCTCACCTCGCCCCGCCTTCTCACCTCGCCCCGCCTTCTCACCTCGCCCCGCCTTCTCACCTCGCCCCTCCCTCCGCAGATTGCAATCGCAGTGGCGGTCGCCATTTTCCTGCCCTTCACCATCTGCATCCTCTGCGGCTTCACTGCGTGAGTGCATCGCTGAATCTCAGTATGTAGCTTGCATTCCGAAATTGAGTGGGTACTTGCACATCCTGCATCCGAGGTCAGACTGCTTATGTTGATATGGTAGCTGAAGCATGTCACAATGACTTCTCTTATCGCACTTTTTGCCACATGTTGCACATGCGCGCAGCGCGCCCCACATCACGTCCACGCGTCCAGTCCCAATATTCCACTACCTGCTTTTCACACCACATACCCACTCCTCTCTTTCTCACACCTTCCACGCCCGTGCTGCTCCCGGCCGTGCCTCACCCCTCTCAGTTGCTCCTTTGCATGGATTAACAGCGCTACTCGCTCGGAGGCCATTGTGCTGTCGCCCCAGCACTTCACCATCACCACCACAAACTCCGGCTCAACCAAGCGGAAGCAGGGCAGCACGCCAATGGTGCGCGCCATCGTGGTGCAGAACTTGAACTCCCCACAGCCGCTGCCACCTCCGCCAGTGCATAGCCTCGCTGCCCAAAGTCCCATCCCTCCTCCACCTGCCCCTGCCGCGCGCTCAGCAGCTAAGCCGCCAGAGCTGGTGTGCATGATTGTTGGGATGGAGCAGGAGGAGTACCGGTTTGGCAAGACCTTGAGTGAAGCGGAGAAGCAGTGGGTGGTGGGTGAGTTGTCGCACCACTTGCATACCATGCACATGCACCCAGCGCAACAAAATGTTTAGAGCGTGGAATATGGTAGCACTGTATGCTTTGGAAGACTCCTCCCCCCTGAGCAGGAAGCTGAGCAGCAGTCATTAAAGTTTTTATCCAGGGTTCTGGTTCGCAAAACTCAATAGACATTAGGATACCAACACCAACAATTGGGATTTTCTAAGCCTTTTCACGGCTAAGGCTTCATAGTTGTTCCTTGACAGCCTGAGATATCACATGGGCACTCTCATCAGCCTCTGAAAAGTACTTGAAGAGCAAGGGGGACATGGTGGAAAGAGTATGTGTTTGCTATACGTGAGTTTTTGTACTGTGATTACATATAACCGAGTTCAGTGTTCTGCATAACGTTACAGAGACCTCACCTGTAAGGATTTGCTAATCCTTACTGAGGCACTCGTTAGCGAGGCCATCCCGAGGGTCACGCAACGAACCTGTTCGGCCTATTTCGTCGGCCGAACCACTCTCGAGTCGGCCTCCGCTCCAATCGCAACCATCACCGAGCCATCTTCGCCAGGGCCTACGTTATCAGAAATTTCTTGTCTGTTTTTCTTGATTCCAGACACGTTTTTTTGGGTTCATCTGAGGGCCTAGACAAGCCTTTCCCACTCATCTGATTGTTTAGACAAGGTTCCTATATTTATCTGATTTTTTAGACAACCTTATACGTTTCGTCTGAGACTGCAGACATCGCGTACTTTCTCGTCTGATACCGACAAATTACCCCACCTGGCCAGTTGCCCACCTGGCTAGTTGCCCACATGCCCTGTTGCCCAATGTTCCCGACGAGACTTGCCACTCGCCGCGTTACCGTGCTGCCACCGCCAGGGTGTACGTTGCCTCTGGTCGGTGACAACATCTCACGTCAAATGCGCCAGACTCACCCCGCTGGCACGAATCTTGCCAACTGGTTTGGCATATTCGTGCCAGCGCACGGCAGACAGCTGCATTTGCAACACCGACTGCCCTCAGTGCGCGTAGACTCAGCAGGGGTGGATGGCATGGCAGCTTCCAGCGGAGAGGGAGACGTTCATGCATCGCGCCTCGTCCCAACGATACCCCCCCCGCACTCCCCGCATCACCAGGGGTCGGTCCTTCATTTTAACCTCGTTGGCGAGAGCGAGGCAGTGTGTTGCAGTTGCCACGATGGCCTCTGACTCTCGCACGGAGGCCCCTCCAGCTTCCACTCTGCATGCTTCTCCGCCACCTTCCAGTGCGTTGCCACGCTCACGCACTGGCCTTGATTTTCTTACCCGGGGGTGTTTCACCACAACTCCCGTCTCAGCAGCTCCTGTTGCTCCTTCGGCCGGTGAGAATGAGAGGCCACACTCTCCCGAGCAGCCTTACCCGTTCGCGGAAATGGATGCCGAGCCGCTAATTCCTTTTTCCCCAGTTCGATCACCGAGCTCAACAAGCCTTCCTGGGGGTTCGTCATCTGGTCAACCTCACGCATCTCCTACAAAAAACAACCCTTCCAAAACCCGCTCGCCGTTCCTTCCGCCGCGGTTTCCGGGCAAAACTAAGTATATTCAACATAAGCTTTCTTTCGCGAAGTGCCCAAGCTCTCCCTCTGCAGGAAATCCCGCTTCTAAGGACGATGGAGGGGAGAGCCGTGCTGAAAAGAACCCCGGTCCCGCGATTCTGACGCTGGAGGAGCTGCAGCTAAAAGCCAAGCAGCAGTGGCAACGCCACTTCCCTTGGCTTATCATCGGCGACAACTCCGAAGGTCGTCCTTGCATGAGGTGCAAGATCTGCACCGTGCACGCAGATCCAGAGTCGCAGTACGGCGCTCGGGGCGAGGGAGGCATCGACATACAAAAGCAAACCATGAGGAAACACCAGTGGAGCATCCGGCACCGGGCGGCGAAGGCACGATTGGAGCAGCGTGAAGGCCCGCAGACGAAGCAGGCTTCTATCTCCAACTTTGGAGATAAGAGTGCGGAAACGCGGCGGTTGATCAAGTTGTTTCTGACTGTGCGCTTCATTTGCAAATCTGATACCCCCATCGCATTGTTTATGACACTCGTGCAGTTCATGGCGGAGATGGGAACGCCAGATATGCCCGAGAAGGACCAAGGGACTTACTGTACACCGTAAGTGTTGAATCGAATCCCTCCTCTGGTATAATTTCACCAGCCATTTTACTAATTATTGCCTAATGTTCGACGCAGGTACGGCTTCAAGCAGCTGGTCGAGACTCTGGTGTGCTACTTGAAGGCGAAGCAGATGCAGCACATCGTCGCCAGTCCGTTCATTGGCCTTCAGCTCGATGAAAGCACCGACAGAAGGCGTGGCAAACACATAATTGTGTATGCCACGTTTCTTCGCGGAACGGCGGTGACGACCGAGTTCCTCGCCAACCTTTCTGTCGAGAAGTGCGACGCAGCATCGCTGGAGGCCGTCCTCATGACACACCTTGCAGCTTGCGGCATTGAACTGATGAAGATCAGCGGCATGACGACGGACGGCGCAAGTGTCATGACGGGATGTGACACAGGCCTGGTGGCGAGATTACGGTCACGTGTTCCGCACATCGTACCCTGCCATTGCGTTGCCCATAGGTTGTGTACCGTGAGTTTTGTTTGTTGTTTCTGTTATATTTACATGCAGATAACTAACCAATCTGTTACGTGTTATGCCTGCAGGGAAGCACTGGCTGCTAAGGATGCTGCTCTGGAATTTCCAGAGTTCAATGTCGTTGATAAGGTCGTCCGGGCCTTCGCGGACATTCTCGGCCGCAGCATCGTGCAACATGCGCGATTCAAGAAGCTACAGGAAGTGATCACGCGCACCAACCTGGAGATGCAAGGCATAAAGGACGTACGGTGGCTATCACGCGGGGACGCCATCGAGCGGTTTGCTGACGTGCTGCCTGCTGCAGTCGTCCTGCTGCATGAGTACGACAAGTCTTCTTACACCCTTGTAACAAGCCTGAAGTTTCAGTTTTTCTTGTTCTTCCTGGTTGATGTGCTTCAGGAGTTGAACAGCCTCAATCTCAAGTTTCAGCGACGGAAGGTAAGGGATTGATGTCATAGATTACACTTGGGTTCCCTTCCCGAGACTAATTTGCGTCTGTTTTATATGTGCATCTCGATGTGACGCAGGTTCTTCCGATGGTGCAGCACACCACACTGGCCCTGACCAGTCGCTACGTGGAGTATGGCTCCACCTTCGGCGACAACAGTGGTCGGCTCGCGACATTCCTGAAAGCGCGCGGGAGCCTTGAGCATCGCGAGGTGAAGGTCGAAAGCGTTGACAGCGAGGGAACACCCGTGACGCACACCTACGTTCTTCACGAGGACTACATCGCGAAGGAGAAGTTTGGGGGGGGTTTGGCTTCGTGCGTGGAGGCGGCATCGGCGTTCGCTGCGCGGACAGTGTTTTTTATCGAGGACCGCATGAAGAGCCTGAAGTCGCTGGAAGGGAGCCGTCTCTTTCGGCAAGGACGGTACCCTCGCTCGCGCTCTAAGAGAGCGCGCCGATTTCCCGTGTGGCTAGAGTCTCTGCGCAACCTGTTCAAGAAGAAACCGCAACATCCAGACACCCTTCCTGGTAAGCGCTATATTTTATGTCAGCATGTGACCCATGTCTTGTATGATTTTGGCTGTGGTGTCATTTGTGTATACTCAACTATAAAATGTGCTAGCGTTGTTCCGTCCCCCCTCCCCTCGCTATCAGGTGTCGATTGGGGCAAAGCTGCCAAGGAGCTCACCAGCTTTACCACAATTCTCTCCACTCATCACGAAGACCTCTCCTTCCACGACAGCCTCTCGCAGATGCTCTCAACGCCGGATTGGGAGTCGGCCTTTCCGAACCTCGGTCGCCTGTGGATAGCTGTTGCCGTGCTCCCACTCATCACTGTTGAGTGTGAGCGTGGTTTCAGCCGTCAGAACATTATTAAAAGCTGGGTGCGCGGCAGCTTGTGCGACACGACACTCGGGGACCTGATGACTGTCTCTCTTCTGAATTACGAGCTGAACACAGAGGAGCTGGTGGAGAGGTGGCATGGCAGTAAGAAGAGGCGGCCGGCACGTGAGGTGGTCATGGCTCAAGGATCACGTCCGGTGAAGAGACGGCGGTCCCATCACCAGAAGAAACGTGCGGTAGCCACAGCAGCAGCGGAAGAGGCAACCCGCGCACAGAAAGAGGCGGAGGTGGCTGCCATAAGGGAGAGAGAGAGAGCGGCAGAAGAAGCAGCATGGGAACTCCCTACCTGGAGGAAGGGCAAAGCCGCAGCTACATTAGAGGAAACCTCAGACTCTGAGTCTGAGAGAGACAGCGGTAGTGATGATGATGACAGTGGCAGCAGCAGTAATGCTAGTGACTCCTCTTAGAATAGGATCTTACATTAAAATGAATAGCGTAGTGATTAGATTATATGTAGTAGGACTATTTGAAGATTTTCGTCTGAACGCCTAGACAAGTAGTTCAAATTCGTCTGAAAGCCAAGACAACGTTACAGCATTCGTCTGACGATCAGACAAGCAACCAGGACCTGGTCTTAACGTCAGACAGGCCCCCAGACTAAAGTTAGCCCTGATCTTCGCCCTACCTCTTCGCGTAGCTAGGACTTCCCCTATTTAGGCCTCGTCACTTTGTGTGTTCGATCATTCTGTAATTTCCATTCTCGATATTCGTTTTACTGCGCACTCTGCAAGTTCATTCATAACACCTGGTATCAGAGCTACTTTCCTAGCCTACCCCGCTTTTTAGAGTGTAATAACCCCTCGGGGGGGGGGGGGGACGAGGAAGGATGTCTTGGGGTCCATGAGTTGCGTGGGCCGGCCAGGAGAACTAGTTAGTTGCTCCTCGCGGCTATGTTTTTACGGGTACTCCTTCGGCACCGCCAGATCCTTGCCTCGAACGGTCGCGATCGACCGTGGCCTCCCTCCCTCTGGGCAACGTACAGCTGTAGCTGTCGCGACATTAAACGTGAGTTTCTATTCCGCTGCGGTTTTAACGACGATTTCGGAACTTTGTGAGGCAGCTGGCGTCAGCGGACCTGCATCGGCTA